AACATGGTACTATGCAGATTCCCCGATTAGGAGAGGAAAAGGGGGTGGCAATAGGGTTAAAAAAAAATATAAGGTTTGAGTTGGAGGATAGAAAAGTGGACCCAGAGGGTAGATATTTGTTGTTGAAGGGTAAAACTGCAGGAGGTGGAGTGTACAGTAGCAAATATATATTGTCCAAATAAGAAACCGGAGATATATCTGAGAGGGGTGCTAAAAGAATTGATGGACTTTAAAAAAGGTCGTTTGATATTGGCCAGGGATTTAAATTTTTGTATGGACCCAAAAAAGGATACAACCTCTCCTGTGCAGCGCGAGGGAAGTAGGTCTCTGAGAGTATTAAAGAAGGTTATCCATGAGTCTCAATTGGTAGACACATGGAGTAATATGCATATGAAGGATAGAGACTATACGTTCTCCTCAAGTGCACATGAGACGTATACGAGGTTGGATTACATATTGATAGAACATCGATTTATTGAATCAATAGTTGAAGTAGAAATAGGAGCAATGACTATCTCAGATCACACCCCTGTTGTATTAAAGATGGGGTGGGGAAGGGAGAAAACAGGTGGTGTAGGATGGAGGTTGAATGAAGCACTTCTCCAGGATAAGGATACTGTCCAGAAGATTGGGAAAGAAATTGAGAGATTTTTTGGAGAGAATGAGACGGAAGATGTGTCAATGGCTACAGTGTGGGAGGCTCATAAGCATATATGAGGTATATTGATCGCAATTGGGGCAAGAAAGAGAAAAGAGGAGAGAAAAAATTAGTAGACTTTTAAAAGATATATCTGATCTGGAACAGACACATAAAAATAGTATAGCAAAAGAAATCGGGCAGCAGATGATAAAAAAAAAAAAAGAGCTAGAGACTTTAATGGAGGAAGAGAGATGGAGAGTCTATAATAAAGTGCTAAGTGAGAGATATAGGTGGGGAGATAGGCCTGGAGAACATCTGAGAGCCTTAAGGAAAAAGAAAAAATAGGAATTATATTGAAAAAATAAAAAGCTCCAAGGGAGAACTGGTCCACTCAAATAAGGAGATTGCAAAGGCGTTTGATGGATTATTATAGAATGTTGTATAACATCAATCCCTTTTACTCAGTAAATACTATGGAAACTAAAAAAAGGATATATTTAAAAAATGCTGGTCTACCGAAATAAAGGAAGATCAATTAAAATCCTTAGAAGCAGAAGTTACACAAGAAGAAATAAAAGTAGCACTTAAAAGCACAGGGACGGGAAAAGCCCGGGACCGGATGGCTACACGGTGAGGTATTCTAGAAAATTTAGCGAATTATTCGTTCCCAAGCTGGAGAAGTATATGAATGCTTTGGGAGGAGAGATGGACATGAGAGAATCTATACAGGCTCATGTGGTGTTACATAAGGAAGGAAAAGACGCTACACAGTGTTCTAGCTATAGGCCAATTTCATTGTTGAACTCCGATACCAAGCTATATGCAAAAGTCCTAGCAAATAGGTTGAAAGAGCTTATGCCTGAATGGATACACGGGGACCAGGTGGGTTTTGTCCCAGGGAGGGAGGGGAGGGACAATGGGCTGAGAACCCTGATGCTTATTCAGAAAAGTAGAAAAGGGGATGTACCGACTGTAGGTCTTTCGATCGATGCTGAAAAGGCTTTTGATAGAATAGATTGGGGCTTCATGATGGACACCTTAGAAGCCCTGGGAATTGGAGTTAGAATGAGAGAATGGATTAGAAAGTCGTATAGGGAGCCCCTCCGCAGTAGTTTATAGTAAATGGGGAAAAAACAGAGCCCATTGGGATGTCAAATGGAACAAGACAAGGATGCCCTTTGTCCCCCTTGTTGTATGTCATGTCTTTGGAGCCCTTCTTGTCTACAATAAGGAAGAATCGCGATTTATAAAGGGGATTCAGGTGGGAGATATAGAGCATAAAGTGGCGGCCTTTGCAGATGACTTGCTATTTTATGTGGGGTATCCCAGGTTAACACTCCCAAACTTAATGAAATCGCTGAAGGAATATGGGGAATTATCAAACATAAAAATCAATCCAACAAAAACTGAGATACTAAATATAAATATCCCAAAAAGTGAAAAAGAGAAAATACAAAAGGAATTCCCCTTTATCTGGAAAGAAAGAGAGATAAAATATTTAGGAGTAAGGCTTGCCAAAGCGTATAAGAACCTGTATAAACTAAACTATATTTCATTATTAAATGAAGTGAAGGAGGAATTAAAAAACTTTAGAAAGAGGGATCCCGTCTTGGATAGGACGTATAAACCTGGTAAAAATGATAATTGTACTTAATCTTATATAGGTTTCAAATGATCCCAATTATACTCCCAGAAGCGATTTTCAAGGTAATAAAAAGAATAACCAGATATATATATGGAGAAACAAAAGACCGAGGGCGTCTTATGAAATATTAAGTAGAGATAAAAGGAAGGGAGGTCTGGGAGTTCCAGATATCAAGAGATATTACAAAGCAGTAATATTAGGGAGAATTTTTGATTGGATGTTCAATTTAGAGGGGAAAAGTTGGGTAAAAATTGAAAATGCACTGAGTGGAACTAATTTGAATAGAATCATATGGTTAACCGCACAATATAGAGGATTGAAAGAGGATCGAAGTATATACACTGGAAATGTATTAAGGGAATGGGATAAAGTACATAAATATATGAGGTGGGAATTCAATTCTATATTGATGCCACTAAGAAATACGGAATTCTTTCCCCCAGGTAGAGAGGAGATAACAGGTAGATGGTTTAAAAAAGGAAGATATCCAACTGAGAGATATAATGGGGGAGGGGGAATTAAAGCCTTTTTAAAGATTTTGAAAAGGGAAAGATATATTTACTAGATTAGATGAGTGGCGTTATCACCAATTAAAAAGTTTTTGGGAAATTTAGCAAAGCCTCTGAGAATGAAAAAAGATTGGAATCTGTTTGAAAGGTTGTTGGATTCACGGGGGATGGGAAACATGGCACAGCTAAAATATATAGAATTCTCACAGAACTAGACGCAGGCACAAAGCCAATGCACATAGTGAAATGGGAAAGAGATATGGGGGTGGTATTAGATGACGATAAACAGCAGAAAATAAATAGATTAGTCCACAAAAATGTAAGTTTGAGGGAGGTAGAAATAAATTATAAATGTTTGATAAGATGGCACATTACACCAAGTTTAGAATATAAGATAAGTGGGGAAAAATCACCGTGGTGTTGGCGAGGATGTGAAGAAGTAGGGACAGTTTAACATGTGGTGAGAATGTCCAAAAATTCAAGTATTCTGGAAAAAAATAGTACATTTAATTGAGATCATAACTGAGATAAAAATTGGGATAGACCCAGAGATGTGTTTGCTGCATAGTTCAGAGCTATCAGTTAGCAAATATAAGAAATTAGGTTTAGGGTATTATTTGAATGCTGCAAAAAGCTTGATCCCTAAGTATTGGAGGAAAACAGGAGTACCGAAAGAGGAGGATTGGATAGAAAGAGTGAACTGGATTAGTAAGATGGAGAAGCTTTATTACATGCAGGAAGATAAGATGGAGATATACTATGCAAAATGCGAAAAATCTGGAGTAAACGTGAAAAAGTGAAATGTAGGACGATATAGAGTGGGTGGATGGGTAGGATATTCTTGCTTTGGATGAGATGCTGGTAAAGAATGCAGAGTGGGGGGGGGGGGGGGAGAAGTTTTAAGAGGGGGAAAAAAGAAAAGTAATAAAAAATAGTTGAGTATTTATTATGAATATGATGAAAGTGTTTTGTTATTATTTTTGAAAAATTTATAAATATTTAAAAAAAAAAAAATGGGGAAGAAAGGGGTTTTAAGTGACTTTGAAAGTGGCATGGTTGTTGGTGCCAGTTGGACTGCTCTGAGTATTTTAAAAAAAAGATGCTGATCTACTGGAATTGTCACAACCATCTCTAGGGTTTACAAAGAATGGTCTGAAAATGAGAGAACATGTAGTGAGCAGCAGTTGTGTGGATGAAAATGCCTTGTTGATGTCAGAGATCAGAGGAGAGTGGCCAGACTGGTTCAAGATGATAGGCAACAGTAACTCAAATAATCACTTGTTACAACCAAGGTATGCAGAATACCATCTCTGAATGTACAACACGTCGAACCTTGAAGTAGATGGGCTACAGCAGCAGAAGACCACACAGTGTGCCACTCCTGTCAGCTAGGAACCGGAAATGGAGGCTACAGTTTACAAAGGCTCACCAAAATTGGACAATAGATTGGAAAAATGTTGCCTGGTCTGAGGAGTCTCCATTTCCCTACAGATGGTTGTCCTTGAGAATCCCAGTAGATCAGCAGTCTTTTTGAAATGTTCAGACCAGCCCATCTGGCGCCAGCAACCATGCCCAGTTAAACATCACTTAAATCTCCTTTCTTCCCCATTTTTGATTCTCTGTTTGAACTTCAACTCCTCTTCACCACATCTAGATGCCTAAAATGCATTGAGTTGATGCCATGTGATTGGCGGATTAGCAATTTGTGTTACCAAGCAATTGAACAGGTGCACCTAATAAAGTGGTCGGTGGGTGTAGTTGTGCTACTTGCATCAAATGTACTATACACCACCAAAAAAAAGTGCTGCTTGATTTAAACATGTTTACTCTCCCCCCCCCCCCCCCCCCCCCCCCCTTTTTTTTTTTTTTTTTTTTTTTTTTTTTTTAAATTTTGTCCTATGTATATGGTTTCTGATATGAGATCTGAGATGTTTTCTATGTATCCAGTTTTGTGCATAGCATATTTTTCAATGTACCTTGTTTACATATGGCAATATAATCTTAGAAAAAAAATTAAAAAATAAAAATTTGTACTCAAGTGGTTAATTAATGGAATATGTTTTTATATTTGCTTTTTTTTGCAATTGCTTTAGTAGTTTGCTGCTGGAGCATGGTGATGGAGAATGTGGTAAAGAAGTTTTTTGTCAGTAAATTAGTTTTGATTGTTTAGCATGTCACATCTTCTTACACTCCTATTTTTTCACAGGTATTGAAGATGTAAAAAAGCACAAGCCTGGTTATCTTGAGGCTACGGTTGGTTGGCTGAAATCTTATAAAGTCCCTGATGGCAAACCAGAAAATCAGTTTGGCTTTAATGAAGCGTTTAAAGACCAAGTAAGGCCAAAGTAATATACAGCTCACTAAAAATGTAAAATAGACCCAACGATTTGTCTATTCTCAAATATAATGGTATCTGTGCATATATTATGGATTTTCAAGTATGATGGTGGAAGAAATTCCAGGCTAAGGCTGCTGCTTTCCATTTGGCTGTAGAGTATTCTGCCAGCGGGGGCCCACAGGGGACTGGGGACATGTGTGGCCAATATACTTTAGTGAAAAGTGAACTCAAATTGAAATGTTATGAAATGTTGGGCTGAGAACAGACTTGGATAACTAGAAGTATACATTCATTTATTTTTCGTTGTTGGGCTTATCATATTTCACACTTGGAATCATCTGGTCCTTATGAACTGCTGCCTTCTTGTTTCCAGAATGTTTTTGTTTGCCGCTGAGTATTGCGTTTGATGTGAACTGTGCCATGCTGTGTGGTAATTGATTGCACTGAAACTTACAGGGGGCTTGGAATATAGATGCCAAAAGTAATCGTTTGCGTGTTTATAATTAAAGTAAGAAGGTGTGGTAACCACAATCAGCAGCAAATTATAGCTTGCATCTTGCTTTCTGCTTTCCAGAAGTTGTAAGATATAGGAAGTAACTACATTGTTGTTTGCATTAAAAAGACCAGTGCTTGACCAAATAGATCTGATGCATCCCATACCCGTTGTACTGGCCCAGTTCTCTTGGCTTATACACTTTGAACTTGTTTTTGGCTTCATTTCAAACTAAAGTTACCAGTAATGTGCAAGCAAATTGTGGCTGCCAAAAGTATCTCTGCTTGTCTTCAAATTTCTTTCTTCTACATCCTAGGCTCATGAATATACTGCAGCATATTGGACTGTGACATCTTTCAAAAGAAGGATTATGATTTTTTTTTTTTTTTTATCCATCTAATGTCAGAGCGCCTACTGGCCACTGGGGTTCTGCCATTGAGTGGCGGAAGGTAGCGTAAAAGGAATGCGTAATGCCCTTTTGCAGAGAAGGCCCTGTGTGCAGCCTAGGCTGATGATCTCCAGGCAGAAATGGAAGTGACTGTTGTTTTTTTTTTTTTTTTTTTTTTTTTTTTTGCCTCCACTATTTGGGTCACTGGAACAAGCACACATGTAGGATGGAAATTTAGGTTCCTAAAACTTCCATCTGCTATTTGTTACTAGTAATTTCTAGGTAGTAAAGACAGATGAAGATGATGCCCTTGAGCTAGTGCACTCTTGGTTTAACCATTAGCCGCCCGGCCAATGGCCATTTGGCGGCTTGAAAAGCGCTGCAGCTTTCCGGGTGCACGCCATTTGGCGTGCTCCCGCACATGCGCGGTTTGCGCGGTTGCAGAGCGACGCAGCAGTGCGATCTGTCACCGCCCGTGCACCTCGAACACGGCCGATGACAGATCCGAGTACCGGCTCCCGTTGCCGGTACCATGTGACCTGCTGTGACCAATCACAGCAGGTCACATGACAGTTGTATACAATGGATGGCTTCATTCATGATGCCATCCATTGTATACTAGTGCCTAGCTGTGAATGGTCACAGCTAATCACATGCACATGTCATGTGATTAGTTGTGACCAAATCACAGCTAAGCACAAAAAAAAAAAAAAAAAAAAAAAGCTGAATGAATCGATTTCATTCAGGTAAATGCTTGCTTACAGCAAAGTAATTCTTTGCTATAAGCAAATTGTGTAAAAAAAAAAAAAAAAATACTGATTACTTCCCCCCAAAGTAGTACAGTGTTACTATGGTAACATTGTACTATTTTGGTCATAGTAAAATATGAAAAAAAATCTTTAAAAAAAATGTAATAAAAAATTAAATATAATAAAAAAATAAAAAAAAATTAAAAAAAATATATAAATATATTTTTTTTTCATACTGTCACCAGTCAGTGTCGCTGTTCACCGCCATGCCAGTTATATGATGACGCTGTACTGCACTGGTGACAGTATGTAAAAAAAAAAATAGTGAAAATAATTTTTTTTTTTTTCATTTTCCAAAAAATTGACTAAAAAAATACAACTTCAAAAAACTCGCCATGCCTCTTATGAAGTACGTCGGACTGTCTACTCTGCAAAAAGGGGTCATTTGGGGGATATCTGTTGTTCTGACATTCTTGGACCTCAAGATATTAGATTGGCTGTCAGTACTTCAGGATTGATCAATATTCAGATCTATACCATAGTTTGTGAACTCTATAACTTTCCTATAAACTAAAAAATCATCCTAATTTGGGTTATTTTCACCAAAGTATGTAGCAGAATACATCTCGGCCTAAATTTATGAAGAACAATTATTTATTTGTAAACTTTTATAACAGAAACAAAGAAAAATGTGTTTTTTTTTCAAAATTTTTGGTCTTTTTTTGTTAATTTAGCAAAAAATAAAAAAAAACCCACCCCCCCCCCCCCCCCCCCCCCCCCCCCCCCCCCCCCCCCCCCCCCCCCCCCCCCCCCCCCCCCCCGCGGTGATTAAATCCACCAAAAGAAAGCTCTAGTTGTGTGAAGAAAATGATAAAATTTTAGTTTGGGTACAATGTTGTATGACCGCGCAATTGTCATTCAAAGTGTGAGAGCGCTTGAAAACTGGCCTGGGCAGGAAGGTGTAAAATTGCACGGTATTGAAACGGTCCTGAAAAAAAAAAAGCACAGTTGAAAATATACAGTATCTGTCTTTTCTTGACTACTAGCACAAATACATGGTATAGTACTGAAATATCAGTAGGTCTCCTTTTTTTGCATTCTGCTTGGTTCTTTAAACTGACTTCTTTTAAATTGCTGGCAATGGCCATATTACTGATACCCTGGCTTTTTGTGTTTTTCCCCTTCACTATTCTCTTAGGAATTTGCAATCGAGGTTATCAAAGTTACTCATGATCTTTGGAAAGACATGGTCCATAAAAAATCAGAATGTGGTGAGATTCAATGGTATGTGTCCTGATATTCTTGAAAAAAGCATGCATGTGTTTTTTCCTCCCTTCTAATCAATTAATTTGTAACTGCTAGATAATAAACACTCATAGCCTGAAAGTGCCATTGTTTAAAGAGAAGTTCCACTTATGTAGTCAAAACATTTTAGATTAAGCCTGTGTTTGTTATTGTTTTTTTTTTTTTTTTTTTTTTTTTTTTTTTTTCCATGCTAGTCTCATATCAGAAGTGAAGAGGTTACTAAAGGTATGAAATTTTTTGTACGACAGAGAAAATTTGGAAGAGATGTTATGCATTTGTGTTGTATTTAAAGCCAAAAACTATGGATTAAATGAGAAATTTTTTGTGCTTATCCCTCCAAATAATTTTGGGTGAAAGCTGTGTACGAACAGATTATCGTATGATTGTTTCAAAAGCAGAATCTTTCATACAATTTTCTGACCGGATACTAGGCTGTAGGGTGATCTGTCCCAATAGCTGAGCTAGAGGCTGGCTGAGTCCATTTCTCATCAACCCACAATGGAGAAGCCTTTAACTTTTGTTAAGACATTGCTCATATCTAGTACAGCTTGTGAGGTATCTGCCTCTATACAAAGTTAAGTATGATAAACCGCTTCTCTGTTCCCCTCATAACAAAGAGCACTAAATAGAATTTCCTTGCTGGAAGTTCCAGAAAAGGGTAAGCTGCAATTTTTGCAAAATATTTTTAAGTTTTAGTATATGAATGGGGACACGTACCAAAATATAAAATGGGTATTCTCCAAATTTGGCTGCAGGAATGGAAATAAACTTTTTAAGGATTTATTCACAAAGCATCCTTGTAAAAGGTCTGAGTAATTTTTTTTTTTTTTTTTTTTTTTTTTTACATTGTACATTGGTTTTAATTTGTAGAACAAGTAGTCTGAAACGAAAAAAATGAATGATCTCTCTGTATTTCGGGGGAATTTGGTTGGTTAAAGTGGTTGTAAAGGCATTCAGATTTTGTATTCCAATGTGCAGCTCCAACCCCCAAAAAAATACTTAGCTGAGCCCGATCCAGCATGGTGCCTGAGAGCAGTGGCGCTGTTCGTTTTCCCCTCCTTACTGTACGCAGTGGGAGAGATTGGCTCCTGCTGCTGTCAATAAAATCCAGTGAGGAGGGGACGGGGCCGAGCTGAACTGTGTGTCTGTGGCTTCCTTTGGTGGCACACAGAAGAGGAGGAACCCAGAGTGCTGGCAGATAACCCCAGAAGAGTAGGATTGGGACTGTTCTGGTCAAAACCCAGTAGACAGAGTGGGTATTTTATAACGTAGTGGTAAAGGGGGAAAAAAAAACAAACCTTTACAATCATTTTAACAGTTTTCTCTCTGTAATTTCTTAGCAATAAATGATTGGGTTTTAATATTGGTTCAGTCTAGTTTTTTCAGAACTTACAATTCTTATTCCCTTTTTTTTTTTTTTTTTTCTCAGTAAAAACGTCCTGATTAGAGAGAGCCCTTTCTGCTGCAATGAAAAAGAAGCTACAACAATAGTGGATTCTGTAAGTGTGTTTTGTTAATATCACTGCTTATACTCTTCAGGTGAACAAGCCATTTTGTACTTAAGACAACGCTAGAGCTCGGTGTTCTGGTGCAGTCATTTATCAAAATTGTTTGAACTAGGGTTCCACTATATTTCAAAGTCAATGTTTAGATTGGGCACAGAATTAACTTGTCCTGTCTGTGATCCCATTGTTATTTCCCCTGCTGTCCTAGTGACAATGTGGCCTGGTTTTACACAGAATTTGAAGAAAAATGTCTGTAAGGCTGGTGAAGTGGAACCCTTCCAGAGGATCTGAGTTTTACCCATGCCTTTTAAATTGGATTGGGTTATAATTTTATTATACCTATACTTCACCTGCATCAATAAATAGATTTGTTTTTGGATGATGAGTTGCCAGTTACACATTCTGATCTTATGCTGTACCTAGGTGTTAGGAAGACCCCATCAGCCAGAGCAGTGATCACTTCAGGGAGTCCTGGATGGGCATGTTGTGTGTGTTTTTTTTTTTTTTTTTTTTTTTTTTTTTCTCTCTATAATTTAAAAAATGGATACGATCATCTCCTCATGCAGAACAAAGTGACCGTGTGTCTGGAAGGGTCACCCTTGATCTCCATTACAGTACTGATCTTACCAGTGTTTACTCACCACACCTTCTTCCCTCCTGCGGCATGCATTAAAATGAGCAGTGTCTGCAACCCAGGGAAGCAATGAGGTCACTTCTCCGCTCATATAACCGTGTTTGCACCTAGCAACTGGCTAGCAGTGCCCAGTACTGTTACAGGCAAGGTTGTCATATGCTCCTCTTTATCTAATAGTGTTAGGTATTTGGTCATACGCCGTCTTCCCAGAACGCACCTTTCCGCATGCCCCCAGCGATCTCCGTGATCGCTGTGTTCGGCCCTTCACCACATGATCAGCTGTGTCCAATGCCGCAGCAGATCAACCGGGTAAATGCAGTTGACAGTTATCGGCTGCACTTTCCTCACTGTCACAGAACCGGCAATTGTCCGAAAACAGATCGCCACTGATTATCAGGGCACTGATCAGTGCCGATGAGCAGTGCCACACACCTGTCCTGTAGTGCCCCCCCATCAATGCCATCCATCAGTGCTGCCCATCAGTGCCACCTATCAGTTCCCATCATTGTTGCATATCCGTGCTGCTTCATCAATCAGTGAAGGAGAAAATTACCTGTTTGCACAAAGAAAGTCTTTTCTTTTTTTTTTTTTCCTCTTATTTTTTTTGCTTTTATAAACAGTTTATAGCAAAAAATAAAACACCCAGTGGCGATTAAATACCACCAAAAGAAAGTTCTATTTGTGTGAAAAAAATGATAAAAATGTCATGAGTACAGTGCTGCATGACCTCGCAATTGTCATTCAAAGTGCGATAGCACTGAAAGCTGAAAATCTGCCTGGGCAGGAAAGGGGGTATAAGTGCCGATGGGCAAGTGGTTAAATACATGGTGACCAGCCAGTCCACCACCCTTCATCTGCGGTGTTATCTTGCCTACAGTGAAATCACTGCTGCATTCACTTTGTACGACGGCATTTTGACAAACTGAGAAAGGAGGGTTATCAGCTTTGTCCTAACTGATGAATCTCCCTGAAAATCGGAGCAATACAGTTAACCTTCCTTTCCATTAAAGCTCTTTCCTTCATTGCATTCCCCTCTCACTCCCTTCACCTGCAGGTGCCCTTGGATATACTTGGTACTTCTTTGCAGAGCAAATAACCTTCTTTCCTTTCTTCCTTGATGCATTACTTTACGAATTGCGAGGTCCATACACTGTCACGTGGAGAAAAGGGCAATAGTACTGTGCATAGATAAACAGACTGTGACTGAAGGCTAAAGAGTGATCGTGAGAAGCACTCCGTCTCAGAACGACTTCAAGGGGAAGAGCATGCTTAGAGACTATGGGCTTCGATCACCACCACTCAGCTTTCTGAGGGCATTACGTCTTGCATTTGGAATCAATTGTTGCCCTAGTGCATTCTATACATAAAAAGCCATGGCTGCAGTTCAAGAAAATAGAGCAACTTTGTGGTGATAGCCTCAGAGCCACTTGGTTGCTCTCTTTCATACACCTGATTTTTTTTTTTTTTTTTTTGCTGTTTTTTTCACAAAACCTATAATCTTTGATATTTTTTAATGATTATATTATTTATCCAGGCTCCATCTCCAGGAGAATTGGTTCCAGTCTCTTCAGAAGGTAAATATATATTTACATATTCAAACCTGGAATTGAAATATTTCTATAGTAGATTTGAAATATTTGCAAAGTCAGAGCAGTAGCAGCTGAACTTTTAATATGTAACTGGAAATATCTGAGTTTGCAGATCATTCCCTTTCTATTAAAATGAGCCCATAGTACGTAAGCATGAATTGAAGCTGACTAGAGATAAGCAAACATCCTCTCTATAAATGGCAGAAAGTGAGATATCTTGATGCCCAGTGGTATGTGTGTAACTTTAAATCCTGCGCTTTTTTTTTTTTTTTTTTTTTCCCCCAACCTACAAGGGTAAAGGATGAGGACCTGTCACTTGGGAGATTTCAACATGTTGGAATATCTCCTGGTGTAATATAAATAAATAAATCTCTTTCTCTATATCCTGCAGCAGTCTTCCCCATATTGCTTTGCAGAGACAGCAACTTGAACTTTAGCATTAAACTGATAATGGCTGGTCCTCTTGAATTGTAAAAGGGTATAATTGTGTGTTACACTCCTCCAAAAATTATATTCCTGGGACAAAGCTACATCTCGCTGCTGCCCAGATTATCTAGAGCAGTGGTTCTCAACCTGTAGAACCTCAGGACCCACATTTGTCCTTTGTCATTAAGTCGCGACCCAAAAATTTCCGAAATATTTTAATTTATTCAACAAACCAACTTGTGCAGTATTCTACAATGTATATGCACTTTTTAAACCGTAAGAAAAATGACTTCCTTCCAAAATGGATAGTGCAGTATTTACAGCACTAGTGAAAATGAAAGTGCTGTAAAAAAATCTATAAAATAAGTGCTAATTGAAACATATAATGGGAAAACTGGGGATACTTCTTGCTCTTGATAGGTGTCTCAAAGTCTGGGGTGATAGTAGACAAAGCAACTCGAAGGTCATCATCGCCGTAAACACTTAGCAGCGTACTTTGTACATTACTGTCATGAGTGGGCAAAAACAGGCTGTCTGGTAACTTTTACCACACATAGGCCCATGGCACAGCAACTCTTCCACCCCCCCCCCCCTCCTTTTTATAATTATTCCCCTCTTCCATGCCATGCTTTAGCCCACCCTTTCATGCCTTCCTACCTTCCCCATTTCTATGCTCTTTCCTTATCCCCCTTTCACGCCCTCCCATTTCATGGTGTCCTTCAGTCATCCCCTTTCATTCAGTCTTTCAGTCTTAGTTGAGTCATTCTCTGGTATCTAGTGGTGCTTTTCTTCCCTCCTGCACAGCTGGCTGGAAGGAAGTGTAGTTATGTCACTTCCTCCAAGCGCTGCCATGGATTGAGGAGGAATGGACGTGAGGGCCGTGGGACCGCTTTGTAACCGCTGTTTTTTTCTTGTATAACTAAATGTTAAACGCATTTAACAAACATTACTTCATTTAAAATTGTAAATGGGTGGCCTGCACAAGTTCATTTATAAAAGTCCTTGCAGAACTACATTAATGTTCCAGTCCAATAAAAATTCTGGATGGAGCATTCAAAACCTATGATAATCCAGTGGCTGACTCAATCTACCAAGCTTCAATAGCAACATTTCCCTGTCATAACTTCCCATGCTTCAGTATACCTGGGAGCATGGGTGTTTCCCTCAACATTGTTTGTTTCAGCTCCTGCTGTTTTAGCCATAGTATAAAATGCAGTGTTGGGATAGTGAAAACCCTCATAAGGGTCACAGCAGGCGTACATACCCAGAAACCTGAGCACAAAGATCTTCCCAATGTAAACCATCAGATAGAAGTGTCTGTTGATTAATACTCCAGGATAGAACAAAAATGGAAGAAATCAGTTTTGGCAGACTGAACATTTGAGTCCCATTTTATTCATCCAATGCAATATTATTCTACAGGATTTATATAGCGCCAACAGTTTGCAATTGGGACAGTACAATTGCAATACAGTTCAATACAGAAGGAATAGGAGGGCCCTGCTTACAATTGTCTGATATAGACAATTCGAATAGAACATATGATATAGACAATTAGAATAGAACATAATATAAAGGGACACCAAATGTTTATCAAAATATTAAGATTGCAGTTGGTATCATGTTAATTATTGAGGCGATTGCCATGTGTAGTGTTTGGTTTCCTTTTGAGACTTTAATTGTAAAGATGTTTTCCCTTTTACTAATATAGATGTCCTTCTCTTACAGTTGATGTCTGGCATTTCCTCAGAAAGTAATTCAAAAAGAGGATTTAAAATTTTTTGAAGGAAATGGATAGTATATCCTATGTGTATATATATTCTGTCTTACTACCATGTAATGGAATTTGAAGACCTTGTGTAAATAAATTTTTCGTTTGGTATTCTCTTATTCTGCTTAATCATTTAATTATGCACTCTGCCTCTTTTACTTATTTTGCTCTTTGCACCTTTAAAAATGCACAAGGTGCATTACCCATAGAAGTCTATCTAATTTTGGATTGGGGAAATATGAATTCTGGTTGGTTGCAATAAGTTATTGCACTTTGTGTTTTATTGAACAAGCCTCTGCACCTCTTTTTTTTTCCTTTTGGCAAAAAGTATTGTTTTTGTGATAGGCAAATTGCTAAGCAAATAAACACTGTCAGCTGCCAAGTCCATATACAGGACTTCTAGGGCCCTTTACCATTGCAGTGTAGTGCCACACTGCTGTAATGATTGGTATATTGCACATTAACATGTTGCATGAAGACAGCTCATTTATTTAACCACTAGCTACTCAGGACAATGCTAACTTTTTTTTTTTTTTTTTTTTTTTTATCATACGTGTAAAAATTTGCATTTTTATGGCTAGAAAAACTGGAACCACCAAACACACTGCTCTAAAAAGCGTTCACTGAATTTTTTTATGAGAGTATAGCATCAAGTCAATTAAACTCCTGGGTTATTGATCTGGTCAGTTAAGTAGCAGAGGGGGTTGTTAATCAGTTTCAGCTGCTTTAGTGTTAATGATATTAATAGGTGCACTAGATGGGCAACAAAAGACAAATCCCAAAACAGGAGACAAGTGGGGAAAAAACAAATGTCAGTGACCTCCACCTATAAAAACCATTCCTAACGGTTTTTCACTAGTTTTGCATTTGGCTAGGGTCAGTGTTACTACTAGTAGCATGAGGCGATACATGGACTCTACAAAGGTTGCACAGGCAGTCCAACCCCTCCAGGATGGCACTTTAATACACGTCATTGCCAGAAGGTTTGCTGTCTCTCCTGGAAACTCCTCCATGCTCCTGAGACTGCTGGGAGACAGGCAGTTAAGAGAGCTGGACAGGGCCTTAGAAGGTCCTTAACCCATCAGCAGGACTGGTATCTGCTTCTTTGTGCAAGGAGGAATGAGATGAGCACTGCCAGAGCCCTACAAAATGACCTCCAGCAGGCCACTGGTGTAAATGTCTCTGACCAAACAATCACTAACAAACTTCATGAGGGTGGCCTGAGGGCCAGACGTCCTCTAGTGGGCCCTGTGATCACTACCCAGCACCATAGAGCTCAATTGGCATTTGCTATTGAGTACCAGAATTGGCTGGTTCATCACTGGCGCCTTGTGCTTTTCACAGATGAGCAGGTTCACCCTGAGCACATGTGAAAGGGTCTGGAGAAGCCGTGGACAATGTTATGCTGCCTGTACAATCATTCAGCATGACCATTTTGTTGGTGGGTCAGTGATGGTCTGGGGAGCCATATCCATGGAGGGATGAACAGACTACAGCAGGGGTGTCAAACTGGCAGCCTTCCAGCTGTTGTGAAATTACAAGTTCTATCATGTCTCTGCCTTTGGAAGTCATGCTTGTAACTGTCAATCTTGCAATGCCTTATGGGACTTGTAGTTTGGCAACAGTTGGAGGGCTGCCAGTTTGACACCCGTGCCCTAATGGCTAGACAATGGCACCTTGACTGCCATTAGGCATCAGGATGAAATCCTTGGACTCATTGTCGCACTACGCTGGTGCAGTGGGTCCTGGTGCGCAACAATGCCCAGCCTCATGTGGCAAGAGTGTGCAGACAGTTCCTGGAGGATAGAGTAATTGATACCATTGAATGGCCCCCCCGCTCACTTGACTTAAATCCAATAGAACACCTCTGGGATATAATGTTTCAGTCCATCCAACGCCACCAGGTTGCACCTCGGACTGTCCAGGAGCTCCAGTGATGCCCTGGTCCAGATCTGAGAGGAAATACCCCCAGGACACCATCCGTCATCTTATTAGGAGCATGCCCTGATGGTGTCAGGCATGCATACAAGCACATGGGGACCATACAAACTACTGAGTACTATTTTGAGTTGCTGCTATGAAATTTCAGCAAAATGACTACCCTGCTGTATCATTTTTTCACTTAGATTTTTGGGGTGTCTTTGAAATTAAAATCATCAACCTACAGAAGACTGAATTTAAACGATGGAGCATCCTTGCGTTCCTAACACATTACCCAGTCCATATCAGTATAGATATCCAGCATGATATATTTTCCCCATTTGAGATCTGATGTGTTTTTCAAAGTGTGTTCCTTTTTTTTTTTAATTTTTTTAACAGTGTATTTTAGATAATATACATATTTTGCACAGCCATTTTTAAAATGCAAATTTTTAAGGAAAAATACACTTTAAGGAATTTTAGTGCACACACAATATAATACCAATTTTTTTTTCTTCAAAATAAGCTGTTGCACCAAGTAAATGGATACCAAACATGTCAAGTGTTTTTTAAAATTGCACACTCCTGTGGAATCGCGATAATACAGTACATTCATTTTAAATTGGTAGCCTGTGAAAGCCTTTAAAGTTTCACCGCTGGATAAAGTTAAACAGGTCTGATGCTAGAATTATTGCTGTCGGTGACATTCGTGGCGAAACCTCACTTGTGTGGTACAATCACTGTTTACATACACTATACCGCCAAAAGTATTGGGGTGCCTGCCTTTACACACACATGAACTTTAATCGCGTCTTGGTATGTAGGGTTCAATATTGAGTTGGCCTATCCTTTGCAGCTATAACTGCTTCAACTCTTCTGGGAAAGCTGTCCAAGGTTTAGGACTGTGGTCAAACATTCCCATAGACATTCTTCCAGAAGCGCATTTCTGAGGTCAGGCACTGTTGTCAGACAAGAAGGCCTGGCTTACACTCTTTGCTCTAGTTCATTCCAGAGGTGTTTTATCTGGTTGAGGAGGGCAGTCCAGTCAAATTCCTCCACCCCAAACTCATTCATCCATGTCTTTATGGACCTTGCTTTGTGCACTGGTACGCAGTCCTGTTGGAACAGGAAGGGGCCATCCCCAAACAAAGTTGGGCGCATTCAATTTTCCTAATATAGCTTTGTATGCTGACATCTTGGTATGCTGATGTCTTAAGAGGTCCCTTCACTGGAACTAAGGGCCAAGCCCAACCCCTGAAAAACAGCCACACACCATAATCCCTCCTCCACCTTGTACTTGCCTGACTGCATTGTGCCAAGTGTATATTCTCCTGACAAACACCAAACCCAGACACATCCATCGGATTGCCAGACAGAGAAGCGTGATTCGTCACTCCAGAGAACACATCTCCAATGCTCTAGAGTCCAGTAGCAGCGTGCTTTCCACCACTGCACCTGACACTGCATTGCACTCTACACTCTATTGTGCTAATCTGAAGGCCACGTGAAGTTTGGAGGTCTTTAGCTAATGACTCTGCAGACATTTGGTGACTTCTGTGTGCTTCAGTATGTGCTGACCCTGCTCTCATTTCGTGGCTGAGTTGCTGTTGTTCCCATTTGCTTCCACTTTGTTATAATACCACTAACAGTTGACTGTGCAGTATTAACTAGCCAGGAAATTTCACAGATGGACTTATTCCACAGGTGGCAACCTATCACGGTACCACGCTTGAATTCACTGAGCTCCTGAAAGCGACCCATTCTTTCACAAATGTAGAAGCAGTCTGCATGCCTAGGTGCTTGATTTTATACACCTGTGGCCATGGAGGTGATTGGAACATCTGAGTCCAATGATTTGGAGGTGTGTCCCAATACTTTTGGCAATATAATGTATGTTTGCAGGACCTATGCATGTGTTCACATTTGCACAGCGGGATGGTGGCATATACCTTTTTTTTTATTTTATTAAGAGTAAATTAAGGGGTTTTGCGCTTAGTGTAAAAATACATGGTAGGCGCTGCGCTCCTGAATACAAGATGTTGTGACAAATACATAAAACTGCACATCCAGAAAATAAATAAATTGAACTCTGTAATAATACCACCAAAAAGTAAATGTGAATATCATCCATGTGGTGTAAAAAAGAAAAAAGTTAAAAAAAAAAAAAAAAAAAAAAGTGGAGTTTTCAACTCTTCACCCATGAACTGAAACTCTTGAAGGACGATCAGAATGCCTTATGCCCTCTGCCACAAGAAACAAGGGGCTCTTACTAAATTAAATGACCCCTATCCGAGATCATGTTGGCTTCAAGCATCCGGGTATCCATCAATGATCACAGCGAACCACCTTTTATTAATTTCAATGGCTCCATATATCAGCATATCAGGCCAGCCAGCATCAGTACTTATAAACAGGAACAGAGGCCGCACATAGTGTAAAACTACTCACACTTTTATTTAAACATAGACAAATGTAGGTTAAAAACAGCATGAAGTCACAACAGCAGCGCCTCACTGGCATTAAGATGTCACCGGTGTGGCCCCTTCAATGTGCTTCAGTGTCCTCAGGGAAACAGGAGCATTATGATGCCAACGAGGCACTGTTGTTGTGACTATGACCCTGAGGATACGGTTTGATGGCAAAACGTGTTGGGAAGGGCCATACTGGTGACATCTTTACTGCCTGATTGGATAGATCTGTGCTTCCATATTTATATATTTTTGATAAATCTAAATAATAGGAGGAAGCACATATTTATCCATCAGGTCATATACTGTATGGCTACCTTTATACACCTAAAATGAGCTAATTGCTTTTTTTGTGCCATTAACCACTTGAGCTCCTGAGGATTTACCCCCCTTAATGACCAGGCCTCTTTTTGCTACTTGGCGCTGCACTAATTCAATTGATAATTGCGCGGTCATGCAATGCTGCACCCAAATGAAATTTACGTCCTTTTTTTCACACAAATAGAGCTTTCTTTCGGTGTAATTTGATCACCTGTGTGCTTTTTATTTTTCACGCTGTAAACAAAAAAAAAAAACGCCAAAAATTTTGAAGAAAAAA